CTCCACGATTACGTGTAAGAGACCCGAGGTTCTCGTCTATCTTTTCAAAGCCATAGTCAGGTCTCATCTGGAGTATTGTGTTCAGGCATTGGCACCCTACTTTCGGAAAGACCTCGAATGTATATAAAGAGTGCAACGCCTGGCTACAAGGATGACGGAGGAACAGAAAGGTAAGAACTACGAGAAGAGACTCAAGGACCTTAATCTGTTCTGTCTGGTACGAAGGAGGGTCAGGGGGATCTCATAGAAGTCTCGAAGAACAAAAACGATTACTCCGGACTTGAGCTTGATGACATGTTCCAGTTTATTCCTTCGAGTGGCACTGGGGGACATAGTTTAAGGCTGCAACGTAGTCTTGTAAGGCTGGACATTCGAGCCAAGTTCTTTACATGTCGCGTAATACCTTATTAGAATAGTCTATCTAAAAATGTGGTAAGTTGGTCGAACGTCATAGCCTTCAAGAGGGCATTAGGTGACGGTTGGGCTTCTACCTTCCCTGAAATAGTTTGATGGTAGGTACCTATTAGTTCTGGGCGCCGTTGCCCAGGACGTGATACTGCACCTTGCGTTCTGCCACACAACACATCAATCTGGACGCAAGATTGGCCCAGGCCATAACTCGTCCTGTGCAAACTGAACTGAACTGAAACTGAACAAAAGCAAATCTGCAGATCCAGATGACATACATCTGGCGATCCTAAAACCACTGAAGATTATTTTACCACGTCCATTAGCCAGCCTATTAACCAGGTCACTCGAGACAGCCACCCTCTCAAGTGACTGGAAAGCGGCCATAGTCACCCCTATCTATAAGGGGGGAGACGGAGATGCCGCCTCAAACTTTAGGCCAGTGAGCTTGTTTTCAGTAGTACTTAAAGGTTATGGAGATGGTGATTCGTGACAAAATGACTAGTCATTTTATAGCGAACAACCTACTGACGGAAGCTCGGCATGGATTCAGACGGGGTAGGTCCTGCCTAACAAATCTGTTAGCCTACCCGGATGCAGTGACGGACAGACTTGACAGGGGTGAACGTGTCGAAGTGTGCTACCTGGATTTTAGGAAGGCCTTCGACTCAGTCAGTCACGGACTATTCCTGATAAAATTGTCATAGTTGGGAGTGCACCTCGAACTCCGAAATCGGCTTCGGAGTTATTCAGTAGGTCGCACCTTCCAAATCCGGGTAAACGGCAAATTGTCTGAGGGAGAACAAGTGCACAGCGGAGTACCTCAAGGCTCGGTCCTTGGACCGCTGTTGTTCTTGGCCTTTGACCTTTACAAAAGCCGCTACCTTTGGTCAACCCCAAGGCACGTCAGGGTGTAAATCGGCCCGAGCCACACCGCGGGTCCAAACCCGGGGCGAGGAGAAATATAGTCTCATATGGGAAGAGAGATAGGTTAGAGGAAGAGCTTCAAGAGCTGAACAAGAAAGTGAGTACCCTCCCTGCAGGAAGTATCCCCAAAGTTGAACTTCGTAGAAACCTCCTTATACTTAACAATGAGGAGCCAAATATAAGAGAATCAAAGGCCCGTAGAGAAATGGACAGGCGTAGAGTCCGTGACATACTCAGGTTAGCTGGAGCTCCGCCAAACTTGACAATTAGGAGAGTACGCCAGATTGGGAGGTGGAAAACGCCACCCCTGGAAGCAAAACAGGCATCAGCTAGACCCATGCTGGAGTTTTTCAGACCGCTAGATAGGAATATGCTACTATCCCGCGCAGACTTAATGTGAAGTGCCACCAAAGGGCGTTATAAAATAGTCCTTGATGAACCCCGAGTCAGGGGAATAAATAGAAGACCGTCAGCTACATGACGGGTAGAGAACGTTTTGGGGCTGAGCTAATCAAACTGCCCAGGGTACCACGGGTCTTAGCAAACCCGAATGTGGTAGTAATTGAAGACATCTTGGAGCATCTCACGTTAATAATCGAGACCCAAATGGATTCAAATAATGCCGCAGCCGGCCAGCCAACATTGTCACCGGGACCAGCATACGTTTCCAAGCTCCCCGAGCTGGAGGAAACGGTGGTCGAAGTAGCAGCCGGCACCATAGATCAGCCAAAAAAAGGGGCTGCCTACCCGGGGGTTACGCTCGAAGAAAGAATCCGAGTGAACAAACACCACTCGTTAGGGGATAGGACAGAATTGGTACTATTGCACGCCAATGCATGCAATATTAGGAATAAGTGGGGAGGGCTGATCACTGTGGCTGCGGGGACAAAGGCTGAGATGATTATCTTGTCTGAAACGTGGCTAACGCAGGAAGACCACATACCCGAACCACTTTTAATCCAGTTCACAGTCCACAGACAGGTCAGGGAAGGGGGTACACTGGGGGTGGTGTAGCAATCCTAGTCAGACAGGATATACCCCATCACGAAGATAAAATATCGCAGTGCCCCCGAAATGTTCAGGTGTGCTCAATTTCGTCGGTTCTACCTTCGAGGAGGGTTAGCATATCAGGCGTCTACAGAAGTCCGGAGTGCACACTCGAGGAGGAACAGGCCCTCCTATGCGCCCTAGATAGCTTATACAGACACTCACAAGGAGTTTGTATATTGGGAGATTTCAATTTCCCAAAATTCGATTGGGAGGTTGAGCGGGCACCAACAGGAACAGCGGAGAGCGCATTCTGAGAATGGATGCACTCGAGGGCCCTACAACAACATGTCCGGGAGTGCACTAGGTACAGAGATGGAGATAAACCATCTCTACTGGACCTACTAATTACGAGGGAGAGGGATGTGACAAACATCACCCTCCATCCACCGCTGGGTAAAAGCGATCACGTCGTTCTCACCACAGAAATAAGTCTCATGCATCGTAGGAGTAATTTTAGGATGTCCAGGAACTACTGGACGATAAATGCGACGACGCTGGAGTCCCAAACTGCGAAGCTGGTGTTGACCACTTTCCACGAAAACGACTCTGTAGACTAGCATTGGGGCCGGACAAGGCAAATATCTTTTCTTCGCAGGATGAATTCGCCCCCCTGAAACCCAGGGCAGCAAAGAACAAACCATTTTGGTGGAGCCCAGCGATTAGAAGAGCAACACAGCGTAGAAATAGGAGCTGGCACACTTATAGATCAACGGGTAGCCACCAATCCTGGGTGCAGTACACTAGGGATAGAAACAAAGCAGTGGCAATTGAGCTCAAGTTGGCAAATTGTGCCAAATACCAGCTGAAGAGATATTTTCGTTATGTTCAATCTAAGGGAGAGCTCAGTGAAAAGATAGGGCCCCTGATATTGGACGATGGAGAAGTAGTAGCCCGAGAGATGGATATAGCAGTGCGATTTAGGGAATACCTCAGAAGCGTATACAGAATGGATCAAATCGTCACTGCACAACCTGACCTCCGCACCGATGGACCAGATATCCCCGAATTACACGTGGGGCCGGATCAGGTGCGCAGGACTCTTGATGAGCTGAACGCCACCAAATCCACAGGACTAGATGGCATCCACCCAGCCTTAGTTAAACACATAGCTGAGATTCTAGGGAGCCCACTTTGCCACCTGTTCAACAAAACTCTGAAACAGGGCAGGATACCACAGGACTGGAAAACAGCAACTGTGGTCGCCATACACAAGGAAGGGCCGAGACACAGGGTAGAAAACTACCATCCAGTTGGTCTCACAAGCATCTTGTGCAAAGCGCTTGAGAGAATTATCAGAACCCACTTATGCGAATATCTCACTCAGCACCGGTTGCTGATTGCGGCACAGCATGGGTTTCTGAAGGGGAAATCCTGTCTGAGCAATCTCCTGCACTTTTTAGATGAAGTCACAGCGAGATTAGACGAGGGAAAGCCAGTGGAAGTATGCTATTTGGACTTTAGCAAAGCATTTGAATCAGTATGTCATCGCTTACTTTTGGCCAAGATACATGCTTTAAGGATATAGGGTAACATCCACAGGTGGCTTACAGCTTTCCTGGCCGATAGGACCTTCGTGGTTTGGGTCGGAGAAGCGAACTCTTCAATGAAAAATATTGCCAGTGGTGTTCCTCAGGGATCAGGTCTAGGTTCACTCTTATTCTTGCTCTACATCAATGATCTACCTGAACACCTAGGCTCACCTAGCTATATATTCGCAGATGACATCAAAGTGGTAGGATCAAATGGGAGAGAGGAATTAGGGAGGGACGTATGAGAAGTGCTCAAGAGGTCAAGTTCTAGAGGTAATTCAAACCAAAAGAAAACACAGATACCTTTGAAGGACCCGGGACATTTGGGCAACAGCCTCGAACCCGTGAATCACTTCAAGACTTCAAGACAAGACTACATGGGATTTGACTCTCAACAGAGGAGAGAGTCATGTCTTCACCACTGGAGACGAGGGGCTGATAAGGGGAGTAGTCATGGCGATCTTTCACTAGGAACGACGCAGCAAGCTATAGATTTAGGAATCATAGTGATAGCAGACTACAAATGGGCAGAACATTGTGCTGCAGTGGCTCACCGTGCCAGTCGAGAGCTTTTTAGATTGAGGTCGGCACTAACGTGCAGGAAACCGGAGGTATTCTTACCTCTATACAAGGCCATTGTTCGACCGCATTTGGGCTCCCTTCTTCAAAAAGGACGCCGCTTATCTCGAGGGTGTCCAACGATTAGCCACGAGGATGATCGAATTTACAGCAAGGGAAGCCGTATAATCAGACTGCATGACTTTGGGCTCTTCTCCTTGGAGAGAAGAAGACTCAGAGGTGACTTGATAGAGACACTCAAATTTATGAATGGCCTATCAGGGACGGATCATCAGTGTTCCTCGAGAGGAGAGAAAGCAATACTAAGGGCACATGCACAAGCTGAAGAAAGTACGCATGAGACTAGCGGTGCGTTCAAACTTCTTCAGCAACAGGGTAGTGAACTCATGGAATAAGTTACCACAGGAGCTGGTGGAGCTAGAGAGCGTACATGCTTTCAAGAAGGAGGTTGATAAACGCTGGTCGAAATTATTTCCTGAAGTAGAGGCATAGTTTAAGGTTTGATAAAAGTTATAGGTTTTCTCATTTACTAACCACCCCAAATAAGGGAGCGCTTCCAAATGTGAGGTCTCTCACCTGGACGAGAGGAGAAGATTTTTTTCCTTTCTCTTCTCTTGAAGAGGTGAAGACGATTGGTACGAGAAGGAAACGCGCATAACTACCATATAGAACACTCGCAGTGGTAGGGGCCAACACATGGCTTACTACCGAAGGAACTCTGGACGCTCCATTGGCCGTAGCCATCTGCTGTCCTGTGCAAACTGACCCAAGATCCAGAACCCTTGGGTTTAGCCTTGAACCCGTGAAATACTTCAAGACTTCAAGACCCCATCTAGTGAGACTAGGAGGCCAGTCGGACGGGATAGTCCCTCACTGGAACTGTCCTTTAAAAATATCTCCATGACTAGAAGCGGTATCTCCTGGCAGGTGCAGGAACCCACAGGAGAAGACAACTGCAAAGCAAAAAACGTGGTACACCCTCGGGTACTCCACACGAGGGTCCAAGTGGTCCAGGTTCAAAGGAACCTATAGTGCAGGTCGATGGTACCGATTTGTGGTATACCAATGCCTGCAGCTTAGGAGGGAAATGGAGCAAACTAATGGCGAGAACCCACACAAGCGCCATTATCGGCATCACCGAGACATGGCTGAGGGAGGGCCAGGCGGTTACTGCGCCCAACAATCATACCCGGTACAGGCAGGACAGAATAGACGGTAGGCTCGGTGGTGGGGTACTACTACTGGTAAGCGCAGAATATTGCCAGTGGGAAGCGCCCTTTAACTTAGCCACACCGAACATACAGGCCGTGTCCTGTTATGTCAGACTGGGGGGTAGACCGGTGGGAGTGCTCTGTGTTTACGGGGCACCGCAGTCTAATAGGGCAGAGGATTCTGCAATAATGGCACCCCTAGGTAACATAGTGAGTGAATCATCGTGATTCCTCATAATGGGCGACTTTGATCTAACAGAAATAGACTGAGACAACGAAAGCGCGCCAAGGGGTATCGCTGGTATTGAACTCTTGGACTGGGTGCACCAAAACGGACTAACGCAGCACGTCAAAATACCCACACGATTCAGAGGTGGCCATCGTCCGTCAATATTAGACTTAGTTATAACTAGGTACAAAACGGACCAACTTCTCTTATGTCGTAAGAACCGTTGGGAAAGAGCGACCATGGGGTACAGNGACCGACTTGGTGGTCGCCTAGAATAGAAAGAGCGCTCACATCGCGTAGAAGATGCTGGACTTTCTACAAGCTTCACGGAACGCATAGTTCTTGGGTCAACTAAAAGCTGGCCAAAAATAAAGCACAGATAATGCAGCGGGAAGCTAAGTACCAGTACGAAAAGAAACTAGCTAGAGACATCAAAACAAACCCGAAGAGGTTTTTGCCTATGTATAGTCCAAGGGAACCACACGTGAATGTTTTGGAACCTTGGAGATGGCGAACGGTAACATAGCTAGTACAGACAAGGACCGGGCTAAGACGTTGATGGACTACTTCAAAAGTGTCTATCGTTCATCCCAGGGTGATGGTAATCAAAAACCCCTGGTGGATACCATTGGAAACAAACTGCAGGTGGTAATTGTGAGTAGGGCGGAGGTACGAACCGAGCTCATAAGCGTGGGCAAGCATAAGGTGGCGGGTCCGGATGAGATCCACCCAGCTATTGTTCAGCCACTAGCTGAGGTCACGCCAGGACCTGTCACTGACTTGTTTAAGCAATCACTGACAACTGGGTTAGTGCCAGAGAACTGGCGGAAGGCAACCGTTGTAGCAATATACAAGACGGGGTCTAGACAGAAGGCAGAAAACTACAGGCCGATCAGTTTAACGTCAAGTGCAAGTGCCTCGAACGAATAGTAAGAAAACAAATCTATGCGCACCTGGTTTCTGATGGGTTTCTATCCCCTGCACAGCACGGGTTTACCACGAATAAGTCGTGCTTAACAAATCAAATTATGTTTCTCGACGAGACCACACGTCGATTAGATCAGGGTAGGGCAGTGAAGGTATGTTGCTTAGACTTCAGCAAGGCTTTTGACTGGGTGAGT